TCTGCCAGGTCTGAGGTTAGCACGTCTAACCCGATGGTTAACTCCCACAAGTAGTCAAAAGGCTGACGGTTCAGCTTGAAGCGTATCCCGGACTCAGAGCAGACCGCGTCAAAGGCTGGAGGTGCTGTCGGATACAAGCTTGTTAACCATTCTTAAAGCTTTTGCCAATATCGAGTAAATAATCAAATAACTTACAGACATCTGTGAACAGTGCCACAATGGATGCCAAGCGGTAATAAGAGTCGTTTCCAGGTAGCACAGCCAGCGTGTAGTTAATATCCAGCATAAACTGAAGAACTGCATCTTCTATTAAGAACTAAGAAAGAAAACAAATTCACTAAGATGAGCAGGATTTAAGCCATCATGTTGTGAATGTTAATATTTATTTCAAACATGGGCAACAAGTGTTTATATCAAAACAAAATCAAAGAGTCATCGTTTTCACAAGGGCGTGGTGGTGGCAGGGTTACCTTCTGTTTGACAACAGGGTCGTGGAACAGCACCTTCAGTGTGTAGCCATGGGTGCCGTTGGGGTGAAGAACTTCAGTGACTTTGTAGGTGCTCGTATTTGTAAATGGCAACGTAAAGTCTCGTTCATTCAACTGGATAGAAACTAACATGACATCTTCAGGAACATCGCCGAGATAGATGGTGAACATCTGTTCTTCAAGGACTGTTTGATTACGAGTGAAAACCGTGCAGGGCAACAGGGGAGTGACCAGAGTCCTGCGAAACTGGAGCATGGTATCGACATAGTCACGATCTACTGAGATCTGCTCCACGGAGAGGTCGAAGGCATAAAACTCATAGAGGCTCCCAATAACAAAGCTCTGAAAGACAAACATGCAGTTTGCATGACTTCAATCTTTACCATTAGATAAACTGCAAGTCTGACTGAAATATGTTTCACAGAGGATGTAATACAAGATAAATTAGTCACATGGCCACAAAGACCAACATCTCGAGTAAAAATAGGATAACAATCTCTGTTCTGGCTTGGATTGCAGTCACGCCGAAATGTTGCAATGAATCCGCTCATCAGCTCATCTGTGATTAAACTGAACATTATTCAGGAATATCGCCTGTTTGCAATCTGCTTTCTAAAGCGGGAGTCATCGCTGGCCTACTTCCCGTCTTTCAAAAGGCAAGATTACAGAATGCACACAGTTACAACAAATGGGGTTGTGCCGAGCTCTCCAGTTTTTCCCCAGTTTGGAGAATTATTCAAGTTATTAAATGCTTAAACGAGCCATCCCTGTGCATCAATTGAACATTTTAACAAGCAGCCTCAGAGCAATCCAAAAGCCACACTTAACATGCACTGCAAAATTTGTATGATCCTCAGCTTAAATATCCATCCTCTGACCTTCCTGTGTCCTCCTTCAGCATTATAAGGGATGCCGATTTGGACTGTGCCTTTGTGCTTCTCAACAATGTAACCCCTCTTCTCTGCAATTAGCTGCTCCATGGCATCCCCGTTCAGGCCAATCCTGATCTGTGTGCCACCGACACTCGGGTACAGCGCCTCTGGAGTCTTCCACATCATATAGCCCCCGTCATCAAAGTAACCTTCATCTGTTAAGAGGAACAACATTGCAAGTCCACCTGATCCTAAGCAGAAAGTCACTAAAATGACATAAAAGGCAGATACTGACACATGGAGCAAGCAGCCAAGAGGTCGACCATAAGGACAACCCAGTTTTGTCTGGAGAACACAGTTGCATACACCGCCTCCACTGGAACATCCTCCACCTGCAGAGAAACGCATGTAAGCCTTGCTTTGCGTCAATGGTTCAAATGCAGATTCTGAATCTGTGGTTTACCTCAGTGCTCAGTGAGTCGGGTTGTCCATAGGGCGTTCGAAACAGAAGTCTTCCATCCCTCGAGTCAAACATATAGCCCCGCTTCCGTGCTTGTGACACATTCATGGACGGCATCTGCTCCTCCGGTCTTTGAAAAGTCACCTGCCAGTCTGAAGAAGCGGTGCTGCGTACCTGGAGGAAATGT